GGCCCAATGTCAAAGCAACCGGACTAGAGTGGGCCGGATGTATTATATAAATGTACACTATACATAACATGCATATATCTACAAATGATCAATGGCATATTTCATGATTGATAAAACACGAGTTTATTTGAATAAATTATGTCACATGTTTCACAAGTATAATACTCTTTATTCATAGATATGACACGTTTGCGATATCAACAATAAAATTCATGAGTATTACATCTACAAAATACTCATTTTCATGTGTATTTAGTTTTTATAAAGCATCATAGAATCACCTTTAATTGACGACAATCAAGTTATACCCTTTACTTTAAACTTGTTTGACCTCGCCTATACAACACATGATAAGGCATCATCAACACAAACAACACACAGTACGTATCTTACACTAATAAAATGCATTTGAGCAGGCAACATGTACATTATATATCCCCATAGACACCAATTTCATGTGAAGTACTAACTTCAAACATCCACAAATACTAATGTCCAAACAAACCCAAACTTTTGTGACTAAACGTAATTATACCTTAGGCTACCCGGTATGGGACGTTTTTTACGCGTCTTGGGTTGACCTCTCCCACGCGTGAACACCGCCCCCGAAGTCGGTGGGCTGCGTGTGACGTGGCTCCGGAGACGCGAGGAGATGCCCAATCAAATTTCTCTATTTTCTAACGTTCAGAATTTTGTAAACAAACGGCTGTATAGCCGTTTCAACATTAAAAAAAAATTTACTTTTTACAATTTAAACACAACCATCTACACCTATAAATTATCCACTATTCTACTTACAATTTACATTTCAAAAAACACTCTCTATATTTTATTACCTTCTACAAAAAAACTTCATCTCTAATATTTTTTTTTTCTCTCTACATGGATTCAAATCCAAACACCCCAAACACTCCAAATGCAAATGTTAGCTATATGCAATTGTTAACCTCCCCAATCCAACAACAACCTCTATTCACCACTTCATACCCCCAAAACTTCTACCAACAACAACCACAACAATTCAATCAACCCCAATTCCAAGCCTTTCAACAACAACCTTCACAACAATTTCAACAACCTTCTCAACAATTTCAACCATCTCAATCTCAACCTATAAATCTCGACAATGACGACGACGACGAATGGGTCCAAGAAACACAACAACCAACTCGTCGAAGGCAAAAAAAAAACCAAAGATCCAAGAAAAAAAACTACCGCATGGAACAAAGACGAGGAGGAAGCTTTAGCGAAAGCTTGAATTTTCATATCCCAAGACGGGGATGTCGCCAACGCACAATCGGGTCAAAGTTTTTGGTGTCGTATTTTAGATCATTTCCACGCGTTATTAGGAAAGAAAACGGAGCGGACGTACGACTCGATCAACGCAAAATGGCGTGACTTACGAGCGGCTTGCACCAAATTCAATGGCATATTTGACAAGCTTAAAAACATGCATAGAAGTGGTAGCAACGACTTCAACATTTTAGCGACCGCGCCTACAAATACAAAATTACCACCAACGGTAAACCGTTCGGCCACCAAAAAGTGTGGGAAGTTTGTCGTAACGGTCCAAAATGGGTTCTATATCCGGAAATGGCGCATTCGGGATCTACAACCGGTTCTAAAGAAAGGGCAAGAACGTCCGAGTCGGACGTGGGTTTTGGACTCGACCTCAACAATGACTTCGACGCCACCGAGGGGGAGGGCCCACCGGACGTCCAACTTCGTCGACCACCGGGACGGGACAAAGCGAGAAAGGGAGCGTCTTCAAGCGGAAAAGCACCGGCAACTAGCGAAAGCGAGCTTGCGACATCCATAGATAAAGCTCTAGTGTTTCTAGAAAAAAAGTACGAATCGCCGGAGGCAGCTAATCGCCAAAAAATAGCTCTTACCGATCTTCAAATCATAAACACAAAGCCCCAACCGGATCTCGACCCGGAAAATCTTGCGACCTTTCTTAAAATTCAACGACAAGTCCGGGAGAAATATGGAATTTAGGTTCTAATCTCAATGGTTTTAAGTAATTTAGGATTTTATTTATGTTTTTAAGTAATTTAGGATTTTAATTTTTTTTTTTTTAAAGATTTTAAGAATTTTAATTTGTGTTTTTTATATTAATGTAATGTGGTTTTAATTTTAATGTTTGTGTGTTTTTTTATTTAAATTATGGTTTTATTTTAAATTATGGTTTGTATTTTGTTTTTTATTTAATATAATGTTAAAAAACTAAAAAAATAAAAAAAAAAATTTGTGGAGTGGTAACCATTTCCAATGTTTAGTGGGTTGGTGGTGGGTTGAATGTGAAACTGACGTGGCGCACATGTGGCAGCACTTTTCCGGTGGGATGGGTGTGACCACTCCCCATAGTCTTACAATATCCATCAAGTAAGTTCAATTCAAATAAATTTGTCTAAATTGCTAAGTGAACCTTCGTTTATCAAAAATATTAAAAATATTAAATTGAATATGTATAAAAAAATGAAAAATTACATCAAAATGCTCTTGTTCTTATGGTGTATCAGAATATCCCTATTTGATTCATTAATCATAGTAGAGCTCACGTCGTGATATTAATTGGACCGATCTTTTTATTTACAAACGTGAAAATTTTGAGCCAATAGGGAAATAAGCAACCGGAATTGGTGCGCTTTTTATGCTCTTCTTCACCTTTGCATCGTGGTCACCATCAATGTTCTCAACTTTTCTTGATGCACTATTTTTATCATTTCCTTCATCCATCACCTTGTTTGTACCCGAGAAACAACTAAAGAAACCAGATATAATAGCCATCTTGATCGAAGAAGATAAAGAGATTGAAATTTAGTACTTGTAAAAAAAATCTAGGCAAAAAGAATTCTTGAAATATGTTCTTAATATTATGGTTGATAACCTTAATTACATTAATTTGGAATATTTATACACCAAAAACAATTCATTTCTTAAAAATTTCCTAATAATTTCTTGGCGTGGGGAGGAGGGTAATGAAATAAACTAATACAATGTATGTCTTGACTATTCTGACAATTTTCTTTGTTAGTCAAATATATTGTACGAAAGTCACTTTCTAAGGCTTGGGCGTCAAGGACTCGATTGTTAAACTTAAACCACAAATTTAAATGCCCATATGTTTTATTTTGCACGTTTGATATATAGTTTGTAAGTTGATTTTTATTATAATAGTTGAATTTTATGTAATATTTAACTATTTATAGAACGATATATATGTCGTGTATGATACACGTATACGGTATTACTTATTTATAAGATGATAGATACATAAAAACAAAATGATAAATGATTAAAAAAAGATGTTGATATGGATCCCCTAAAATTTATGATATTTAATGGAGCATGAGGTTTAATTGGTAAAGTTGTATAAAAATAGATTCTTGATGTGATAATCCATTGCATTCTAAAATGTTCAATCCATTGAAAATGACCTAAGTGCTTGTTTGATAAGCCACTAATTATGGTGAAGAAGCTCTAGCTCGGTCATCTGAAACACACATTGATTGAAAATATTTGACAGTCTTGTCCTTTGCCTACACATGCTCCTTTTTCCTTCTTCACTCGCCATACATTGAAGGACACCATCACCCAACGCTTTCGTTGTCCAGCTGCAACACCTTTCGATCTCCTCCAACGCCACCTTACTCCAATGATGCCCTTCTCACGCACACGACCCTTACCTCGGTAACAACTACTTATTTAAGGCGTGTGTTTTGAATAAAGTATGTGTCACAATTTTGTTTTATAAATATATATTCTATACGGTACAAATAAATAAGACATTATCATGCCATTTAGTGGAAGGCGGATAATGGGAAGTGATGTGGGGTTAAGATCTCTTCTAAGGTGAGGAAAAATGAGATGCTCCCATTCCCTATAGTCCTTGCATTTTTGTCAAGAAAGTTGCGACATAATATGATACGCTAAAGAAAACTGTGTCACTATTTCATATAACTCATTTGGTAGGTAGTTTTAGCGTCAGACTAAATCGTAGCTAAGTGGTATTAGGCTATCCATATTAATGTAATACCAACTAATATTTTTATATATGTTACGTGACTTCTACAATAAACTTCTATGTCAAAACCAACGTATTTTTTTATCATTTAAATAAGAGAAATATCTTAAAATTTAAACATTGATGTGTTAGTTTGTTATTTCATTAAGAAATACTTTCATGTTTTACATGCGCACCTTGATAATAATAAAGTTATAATATAAGATTCTTTAGTGTCATTATAAAATATATTTTTATATACATAGATAATATATTACGATACACATAAGCTTAAAATGTGTGATATATTATTATAAAAATCATTAAAGTAAGGAGTAAGTGGCATGGAAATAACGGCCTCATGCCATTGCAAATGTTTTGAACACTACTAGAAAATTGGTGCAATAGCTACAGTACAATCCGTACCTATAAGCGGATAGCTACGGGATTGCTACTGAAAACTGGCTGTAGCATAATGGCCCGTCGCTAAATTATAACTACGGATTAGCTACAGAAACGCTACGAAATAGCTATGGAATTTTCCGTAGCTACTATAGCTACGAAAATAAATAGTTACGGATTTCCTACGGAATAGTTACGGAATAGCTACTATAAGAGTCGAATAATGAAAAATAATAATAATGGGAATAATAAGAATAATAATGGAAATTATAAATCCGTCGCTATTTCGTAGCTATTCTGTAGCTATTTTCTTCCGTCCCTAGCCCGTAGCTATTCCGTAGTTAATTATTACAGAATAGCTACGGATTTGTATCTGTATCTATTCCGTAGCCAATGAGCTTCGGAATGGCTACGAATTCGCATCTTTAGCTATTCCGTAGCTAATGAGCTACGGACTAACATCCGTAGCTATTCTGTAGCTATTCCGTTGCTAAATTAGGACGTCCCATTCTGTAGCTGATCCGTAGCCATTTCGTAGCTAATTAGCTACAGATTTTTTCCGTAGCTATTTTCCGTAGGAAAACCCCAAGCTTCAGCAATGGATGGCCTTTGCTTGGCATTTGGAGGTGCATATACTCCTTTTACTAGCAAGTACAGGTAGTATGGCAACCATGCTATGCTCACCAGCCACCACCCATTTTAGTAGGAGGGAGATGAAAGAAAACCTCAAATTACATAAAACAATCAGATTAGTTAACAGATAACTTTAGTTTTGATCTTCTAAAGTACAACCATTTTCATGAAATCAGATCTTAAGTATTTTACAAACACAAGCACACTTTGACATATAATAATGCAAAACAAAGAAGGAATGTCATATTGCCCGACAAGACAAACACAAAAGTCGTCGCAGTATAAAAGATGCATCAATCCTGCAACAGAAATAAAATATCACAGGTAATTAACCAACATTATGTTGTAGCAAGATAAAGAACTAATTATACAATTAAGACTTGAAGAATTCCAGATTTATTACCTGGAATCGTTGTTTAAGTTTTGGTTTCCCTTTCAACAACCATTTCGCATATCCCAAACCCCTACTAAATGCTTCATTGAAAAGGATTATGGTTTGCATGGACTGTGACCCCGACAACCATGATAAAGCAGTCACTGGTGTCTAGTGGCGGATGTAGCTAGTAAGAAGTGGGGTTCATGCACCCCACTTGGAAGTGGGTCCCACCTATTATATTACCAAAAAGACCCTTAAACAATTCTTTTTTACTAAGAAACCCCCTCCATGGCACCCACTCTTACAAGAAAAGTCTCTCTTTAACTTTTTTTTTTGCTGGAAAAAAACAAAAAATATCCTAAAATTTCTAAATATTATATTTTATATGTTTTTTTATATATAATGGACCCCGGTTAACTTCGTTCCTGCATCCGCCACTGCTGGTGTCAACACGATCATCCCAAACATCATATCATACATGCGTGCAATCGAGACAACAGTCTCCCACAACTGAGCTTTCTCCAAAATGGTTCGGAACACTTGGGCAATCAAAAGAACACCCCACCCAGTGGGAAGGAAGGCCAACAGAATCGTTAACAGATCAAGAAGCTTGAACTGTGTGAACACCATAAGAACAATGATTATAAGTAATCCAACAAATCTAACAATGAACTGAATCAACCGATAGTAGATATGTTTTCTCACAGAATACTTTTTACGTGCGTATACAATAGTCATATAAGCTACAAGAACCATAGCCATGCAGATCCAAGAAAGGAAGTAAACAACAATGCTTTTACTACCAGCAACAATACCCAACTTATAAACCATTCCATACTGGAAAAAGAAAAATCGTAAATCCAAAATAATTTCTGAACACTTTCCATATACACTAGTTGTTCTCAGATGATCATGTTCATCATACCACCACTTTTCCCAACTATCTTCAGGTGTTGCAAGCACACTACCTCGAAAGTGTATCCAGTTGATGAAATAGTAAAAATCACCGACTGTTTTTAACCAATCGAACCCAGAAGGATTGAAAACAAATGGTGCCATGATCCATGAAACCACAAGGAACCAACTTGAAATGGTCAATGCAATGTAGGCAAATGTTCCTTTAGCAACGGGGCTATATACAACATAAATGATTAGGATCAAACCAAGTTCAATCGCCTTTATAAAATGACTACGAGCATATAATCTATAATTCTCAGCAAAACTGGTGTGATGCACTACAAAACCACGCCCTGTTGCCCTGTATTTTTCTCCACCGTGAAGGATGGTTCGACCAAAGTAATGAGAACGGGTTCCCACAGAAAATGTGTAGAATACAGAGGAAAGTTGTAGCCACATAAGGGTGGAAAACGGTGCTGAAGTGGAGACGAGTACCCATCTCATCGTGAAACCGCTTCCAAAACCTAGAAGTAAACCGGACATCTCGGTCTGACACCACCGAGACAGGCACTCCATGACGTGCCACTACCTCTCGCACATAAATATCGGCCAACATCTCGACCGAGATGCTCTCCTGGATCGGTATAAAATGGGGACTCTTGGTCAACCGATCCACGATGACCCAAATCAAATCAACCCCACGTGTAGTCCTAGGAAGCTTCGTAATGAAGTACATAGTGATATTCTCCCATTTCCACACAGGAATGTCTAATGGATGCATATGGTCGTGGGGCTCTGGTGCTCTACCTTAACCTTCCTGCAGGTCAGGCATCTCTCCACATACCAAGCTATGTCCTGCTTCATGTAGGGCCACCAGTAGTCGGGTCGAAGATCCCTATACATCTTTGTCGCCCCTGGATGGATGGAGAACCGATACTTGTGGGCCTCATCCATCAACACCTGCCGTACTCCGCCCCAGTATGGTACCCAGACCCTCCCATGAAGGGTCAATAATCCTCGGCTATCGTAATCAAACGAAGCTACTCGGCCCACTATCCTCTCGCACTTCTGGCGCTCCTCCTTCAGGCCCTCAACCCGCGCCTCCCTAATCTTCTCCAATAATGGAGTAACTACTATCATCCTCAGGCAGATATCTCGAATCGGAGCCGCTACCGCCTTGCGGCTCAGGGCGTCGGCCACTACGTTGGCCTTGCCCGGGTGATAAAGGATCTCAAAGTCGTAGTCCTTTACCACATCTAACCACCGACGCAGCCTCATGTTCATATTCAACTGATCCATGAGGTACCTCAAATTCTTGTGGTCCGTGTAGATAGTACACCAGACTCCGTAGAGGTAATGCAGCCAGATCTTGAGGGCGAAAACTGTGACATCCCCAATTTCAAGGCTAGAAAAAGACCGATTTAATTTATGCTTTTAAAATAATTTCAGAGTAATCATTTGATTAAAAGTGTTGCGGAATTTGTTCCCAGATAAACATGATAACTATGTTATCAAATCATTTCCGAAGAAATGAATTTTATTCACTTAAACCATTGGGATGTCATTGTCAATACAAAAACATAAGCATAAAAAAACTTACATTTATTTACACTAGTGATCTACTTCTCTTTTAATCTCTCAGTGTAAAGCAACTTCGTATCGATACCTGTGATACAATTAAACTGAGTGGGTCAGGCTTGGGAGCCTGGTGAGCATATAGGGTTTTCAACCCACAATAAATAATAAACTTATTAAGTTCTCAATCAACAATAAATTTATTAATTTCATCAACCAAATAACCCTAATTACCCATTCCCATTATCCTCACTTTATGTCCCTAAAACAACTATCACAAGGGACCCAGCCTAAGGATTTTCACAAGGGGTGACAATATTGCTTTCCTCTCCAAATTTATGTCAAACAAGACATCCTAACATATAAAACAACTAACAAGGTGACAACATTGCTTCCCTCTGCAATATATGTCAAATAAGATAAACACCGGGGTGACAACATTGCTTTCCTTCAGCAATTTATGTCAAATAGGCACGAAGTCACATCGTCGCCATGTGCTAGTCCATAGCTCTTATTCATCGACAGTATTTCCCACGGGAGTTCCCCCCCCCCCCCCCCCCCCCCCCCCGCAATACATGTCAATGGGTTTTCCATATGCTCAGTCCATAGCTCTTATTCATCAACGATATTTCCCACCGGAGTTCCCCCCCGCAATACATGTCAATGGGTTTTCCATATAGCTGATGAACATACTAAGGGGTTTCCCCAACCATACATACCCTAAAGGCACTCATGAGGGAAATAGAGTATAGCGAATGAACACTCAAGTCCATTAACACCTACAGGTTGCGAGCCTGCTAGTGTTCCACAGACCGTCTAGAACAGTCCATGGTTGTCATCCATACTCTGCTGAATGACGGGGGTCAACGTTTGGGTAAGGGCTTTTCTCATATTGCACCACTCACGCCAACGTTTGGGTAAGGGCTTTTCTCATATTCACCACTCACTCTCAACTCATGATCTATATCACTGATCATCTCATCTATCCAACTCACCTTTCATCACACACCCACTATTTAACTCATGATCTATATCACTAACTCACGAAGCTCGTCTGATCACTTCATAAAAGAACAAAGACTCCAAAGCTCTTCCAAATAAAAGTATAGGGAAAATACTGATAAAGTACTCCCGTACGCTCCCGTACCCCGACACGTAATAGTGTCAAAAAGAAGAACTAACGGATGAACACATAGTTCAAAAACACCTAAGGAACATATAGTTCAAGAACACTTTATGAACATATAGTTCAAACATACGTACCGATTACAAGTCTACTAACGTTCCACTGGACTATCTAAAATAGTCTGTGGCCATTGTCTATAGTCTGCTAGATGACTAGATCATCTTAAACATCGATACCTCTCATCACTTTTATTACATCACACATCATCTAATTCATCTACCCATGTTTTACCCAACATATTTGTAGATAAAGATATATATACAGTTTAAAACTTGTATAAAACATCAATTCAACAGTCACCTCAAATAAACAATTAATATATTTACACATAGCACGTATTTTAAGGTAAATACTTCATATCTATGTGTAAGGTGAAGGTAACTACACACTCACTTGATTTAATGATAACCGGGCAGCACTTCGTTGCCTAGAATGATCGTTTCTAATAAAACCGGGAGTTTCATTGAGAAATCGGGCTCTACGAGGTTCGGGCTTTGAAACCAAAAAAATAAATTTCCCGGGCTTCTCGGGCACTCCGGGACGTGTTCCGGGCGTTGGAAATGATCTCGAGGCTTCGGGGGAAGTCAAAATGATAAAAATATGAGTTTAGGGGTGAAAAAGGGCAAAATCCCAAAGTTACCCGGGAAGTCTCGCAACCCTCTATTTATAGGGGGAAGCTTCTGATCGGACGGCTGAGAAGCCTCCAGGTGGCGAAGATCCGAAGCTCGCAGGACATAGGCTCGCACGTGGCTGCGCATGCGAGGGGGCTGCTGGCAGCCTCTGATTGGACCGAAGTCCGGATCCGATGAGGGAAGCTCGTGGCTTCTGCGAGGGTTCGAACACAAGGAAAAGAGGGCACACGTTGGATGACTCAGCAACATTCCGGACAGGTGGCACATGCGAGGCGAGGAGACGTGGCAGAAGTCCACGTGTGCGAAAATTCCCGATTTTGGCATTATTCCTCGATTTTCGCGCCAAACTTTTAAAATCCATAACTTTCGCATACAAGCTCCGTTTTTGACGTTCTTTATATGCACGCGTAGGTAAAATTACGCTCTACAACTTTCGTTTAGACTTCGTTGGCTAATTTTGACTTTAATTTTTATATTATTATTTTTAACAGACCGGGACAGGAAATCCGTTAAAAATTCATAACTTCTTTATCCGACGTCCGTTTTCGTCAGACTTTTTTACCGTTGTGCTACTAATGATGAGACCTTCGATTCCCGTTTAGGTTGTGTCGGCTAAAAATCACTCGATCTAAAATTCGAGTTTTTAGCTGTCTACTGCTAAGCTGAAACTTCGAAAAATCATAACTTCCTCATACGAAGTCAGATTTGGGCGTTCTTTTGATACATACTCTCAGTTTAACGAGCACTACGAGTTTCGTTTAGATCACTAAGGTTAAAAAGTAGTTTATCAAAAACTCACTTTTTACGACATTCGGCACCGTGCCGGTTTATCGCGAAAATTCGACAGGTCATAACTTCTTCGTTATAACTCGGATTTCGGCATTCTTTATATATCCGTAATCCTTGTCACGCCCACTACAAGTTTCTTAATAGATATCGACTTTATCTAATATTTAATTTTGACGCTTATTTTTATTCTTAATTATTTAAACCCTAATAATTAAGCATAAAACACATAATTTTCACATAATATTCACATAATTCCTTTTCATTTCTTCTAAATGAGTTACAAAGGTTAACCTAGACCATTATATCAATATTAATGCCTAGCCTAGAAACACGGGCGTTACAACTCTCTCCCCCTTAGAATGATTCCGTCCCCGGAATCACACATCAGCAAACAAATTGCGCCCAGTCGTATGTTTCCAATGCACAAACACTAAATCGACCATTTTGTGTCACAACTTCTTAGTCTTACGGTCAACGATTGCCTCAAGTTCTTCAATCAACCTCTTGTTTTTATCCAACCTTAATTTAGAAATGGGAATTATGTCGGGCACATCTCCCGTGAACTTCCTCAAATAACACACACGAAAGGTGTTATGAATACCCTCCAGTTCTTCCGGTAATTCTAGCTTGTAAGCTTGATTCCCGATTCTCTGAAGAACTTTAAATGGTCCAATAAACCTTGGACTCAATTTTCTCCTCTTACCAAATCTTATAAGTCCCTTCCACGGCGAGACTTTAAGTAAAACCGAATCTCCAATTTCGAATGATATCGGTTGTCTTTTCTTGTCAGCATAGCTCTTTTGAGCAGCTAACCTCCTTTCCCTAATCACTTTCAACTTTTCAGCAGTGTGATGGACTATTTCAAGTCCCATAAACTGCTTTTCCTCAGCTTCCAGTCAACATGATGGCGTTCGACACTTTTCCCCATACAAAGCGTGATAAGGTGCCATCTAGATGTTCGAGTGGAAACTATCATTATAGGAGAATTCTATTAGAGGTAATTGTTCATCCCAGTTACCTTGGAATTCCAGGGTACATGCTCTCAGCATATCCTCCAATGTTTGAATTGTTCGTTCGCTCTGACCATCGGTTTGTGGATGGTAAGCTGTATTCAAACACAACTTGGTACCTAATTCCGCTTATAGACTTCTCCAAAACCTTAAGGTAAAACGGCTGTCACGATCGGATACAATCGTTAATGGAACACCGTGAAGCCTCACCATTTCCTTCACGTAAGAATTCGCAAGTTTATCCATAGACCATTTCTCGTTGGCTGC